GGAAGGAAGGAAGGAAGGAAGGAAGGAAGGAAGGAAGGAAGAAAGAAAAAGAGAAAGAGAGATAAGGAAGCTCAGGCAAGTAACTCACTTAACTTAATCACAATTAGTGGACTCTGATTCAAATTCAGGCAGTTTGGCTCCATAATCTGTGCTCTTAACCACTACACTACACTGTTTTCTGAACTATACGCTTACAATAAAATGTGATTAAAGTGAAGAGATAGAATAAGCACAGAGTGCTACAGGAAAAAAAAAAAAAAAGAACACGAACACCTTACTTAGTCTAGAAGGGCAAAGAAAGGCTTCTCTGAGGAATTGTCTTTTGAGCTGAAACCTGAGTTAAGAATAAGGTGGCCAGGCAAAGGGACTTGGGGGAAAGCTCCAGGCTGAGGAAACGCCTGGAGAGGGCCACCGCGGATGCTGGAGTGAGAAAGCGAGAGCACAGAGTGGACTGGTAGATGATGCTGCAACGATGCGCAGAGGCCAACCATGGAAGGTCTCGCCAGCTAGGGGATTTGAGCTGTATCCCAAAGGCAATGGAAACCACTGGAGGGTGGGAAGTAGGGACGTGACATGATCAAGTATGCACTTTAGAAAGATAACTTTGGTATTTGTAGGCAAATTAATCCACTCATGCAGGATTTTGTCTTGCCTATGCGTTTGTTTTGTTTTTAAACATGGAATTCTAAGAAAACAAGACTCTTGCGGGGGGCAAATGTTGGTGACCCAGGTCAGAGTGAGGCTGAGGAGACGGAGAGAAGAGTTTACAAGGACCGCCAGGTAAAGATACACATATTGAGGAGGAAGCCGCAAAAGCAAAGAATCCAAGCCAACGAAACCGCCCCGGGAAAGCGAGGAGCCGAGCACAACTGAAAGCACAGGGGAGATGGAGGCGGTGTTCAGAGACGGCCACTCTTCTCAGCCCTCCCAGGTGCGGCGGAGCGGAGAGGGAGGAAGAAACCTGCTACGCCGCCTCTGAGCGGGGAGAGCGGCAGGTAGCGGACAACAAACACCCACCAGAAGATGGTCCCGAACTTCATGCTCCGCCAGAGTTCGGTGAAGTCCTCAAAGCGCACGCTGTCCATCTCCTGGAAGCGGCTGAGCAGCGCCTCACAGTCGGTCTGCAAGCCTGCAGGCGTCCCCATACCTGCAAAGCACGCACACCAGCCGGCGCCGGTACCCGAGAAAACCCGGCCCCGCACCCCCGCCCCTACGACATGACGCGCACGCTCTCCGTGACGTATTATCCGGCCCCTTCAGCCCCGCCTCCAACCGGGTTTGCCCGAGATATCGCGATGTTTGCTGCGCGTGTATTGTCGCGTCTGTTTTAGCAGTTCCCCTGTGTTAGAGAAGGCAGAGCGACATTTAACGACGCTGAGGAGGTTTACGTCTCAAATGGCCTGTGAGCCCAGAAAGGATTTTAGGCCTACGTTAGGCTATCTTATATAACCTGATATTACCCTTAACTATCAACTTTCCTTTGAAGTGATCCAAAAATTTCAGAAGCCAACTTTTACAGCTAAGAGCAGTAGCCTCAGCCCACCCCCACGTGGAAAGAGGATCTAAGAGGGTTTACTGAGTAGTGGACTGTACTCATTCTCTTTCCGTCTATACCCGCATAATATGGTGCTTAATGTGTAGCCCTAGCAGTCTCTGCAACCACTCCTGAGCAGCTCTTGTCAACATCTCCCCACCACCACCGCAACCTAGCGCAATACTTAGTAGGAAGTACCCGATCTGCTTTACATAAACTTGATTATTTGAATTGGCCTTCTGTGCACATTCCACCCCCAAGCTTCTCTAATAGAAAAGCATTAGGCTTTCTGTCTATAGATGGAGGTTCAACTTCCTTAACTTGTCTCATCATTTATCTTTTTTTAAATTTTATGTAATACCTTATGTACTACTCGTGTACAAACTTACGGAGAAGAAAACTTATATAACATGTCCGAATAAGAAGCATATCAGTAAAATGAACACCTGTGCGTCTTCTACCTCTGTAAGGATCCAAAATGATCAACACCATCACATCAATATGCGAATTCCCCCTCAAATCTATTCCCCTACCTCTGCCATCACCTTGGTAACAGCTACCTTATTTTGTTTCTCAATCTCTTGTAAATATTTTATCACGGGTGTATGGATCTCTAAGCAATACATTGTTTAGTTGTGGTTGGTTTTGAGTTTTATGAAAATGGTACTGCAATTTCTAATATATATTCTTAGAATTGCTTTTTAACTTTAATAATGTTTCTAAGATTCATCTATGTTATTTGTCATAGCTGTAACTTATTCATTTTTACTGCTAATATTCTATTGTGTGAAGATACAGTTTATCCTTTATTTCCTCAATGCAAATTTAGGTGGGTTCCAGATCTTGTTATTATAAACAATTTTTTCTATGAAAACTTTTGTATCTGTCTCCTCCTATTTGTGGGATTGCCAGGTAAAATACACAAGACCAAATTAAGTTTGAATTTCAGATCAACTAAAATGATTATTGTTTATCTTAAATGCAATTTAACTGGGCATCCTTTATTTTTGTTTGTTTAATACGGGATTTCTACATATATGTTGCAGGAGTTTAGAGTATTTATACCTAAGAGTGGAATTGTTGCATGATAATGGGTGCAAATGTAGAATTTAACAAGGTAATGTCGAATTGTTTTCTAGAGTGGTTGAACTGATTAACACTTTACTATCAGTGTATGAGAGTTCCCAATTCAGCCATATCATCTCAGAAATTTGGTATCTAACTTTGGTCTTAACATGCATTTTTCTGATTACTAATGTGGTTGTGCATCTTCTCAAATTTTAATTCTGTATTCGTATTTCCTTTACTATGAAATTCCTGTTTATGTATTTTGCCCATTTTTCAATTCGGTTGTTTGGCTTTTTCTTATTGATTTGTAGCAAATAGTGAATACTAAATTGATGTTTGTTATATGTATTACAAGTAGCTTTTCCTAGTTTGAGACTTACTTTTATGTATTATCTTTATGGTGACTTTTGATGTACAAATTTTTTATTTCTAGTGTAGTGAACTTTTTAATCTTTTGGTCATAAATATTTTATTTGAGCCCTTGACTTCTGCTGGTCTGCAAGCTTTGTTTTTTACCTCTTCATCACACAAAAGTACAGAAATTAAGAACAGGGTTTGCAAACTTTTAATAGCAATTTGAAAAAGTAATTTTATGTCTGTTGAATCTAATAACTTTTTAAAAGGGACTTGTATTTGATATGAACTTTTAAATTTTAATTTTCTGGTAATTTATTTTTATTGTAGTTTATAAAATATTGGCCCACAATAGTTTGGGGAGAAATAGTCCATTACCACCAATAGTTCGAGAAGCACTGGTGTATAACATTTCAGTCCACATTCCATTGGCCAGAACTCAGTCACATGGCCCCATGGAGGCACAGAGAGATCTGGGAAATATAGTCCCTAACTGGGAAACCACTTGGAAGCAACAACTCCGATATATGGAAGAGGTGCACAAGCATAGCTGGACTGCCAACATCACTGTCACAATTTTATTCCAAAAATCTTAAAGGATAGCCCTTCACTTTTAATCCACCATAATCTACCTAAAAATGATTTCTACGTATGGTATGAGTTGAGGATCCAATTTTACTTTTTTCCTTAACTATATGTATGTATGTGCATTTTCCATATATATAATCTTCCAGCACCTGTGACTGAACTGTCTATTCTTTCCCAATAATTTAAAAAGTCACTTCTGTCATGTATCAAGTGTGCAGGGCTAACTGAAGCCAATACATAACTGAACAGCTTTGTACCTGTTAACAGCATACTAAAATATATCCATTACTATTAGTCTATAGTTACTGCCCTGAGCCTCCTGACTACCCTCAGCCTTCCGATCTGGGCCACCCAGGCCCCTCCCCTAGAATCCCTTAACTTTCCCACGGACCAGAAATGAAATGGTTAAGCCTGGCACAGGAAGATGCCTGCTTCAGCCTGTTTCTGTGTTACTGTTTACTTCCAAAGGTCAATTTAGATTTCACTACACAAATATCATATTCTAATTACTACAGCTTTAAAAAAAAAAAAAAGTCTTACCTAGGAAGGAAAGTCCTTTCATCCTACTCTTCTTCAGGACTGTCTTGATTATTCTAAGACTTTTGCTTCTCCATATAAATTTTAAATTCAAGTTGTCAAATTTCTGTAATAATTACCCTTGGGATTTTGATTAAATTGCACTGTATCCACATCAGTTTGTGAAGGAATAACATTTTTATCATGTTGAGTGTCCCTATCCTATAAGCATTCAAGTAATCTTTAGCATCATCAAATGAAGTTTCATAATGTTTCCTGTGTATGGATCAATTTCCTGAAGCCATGCACACAGCCACCCTGGGATGATAGTGGTTTTAGCAGGGCTCTCTGTGACTGTCCCTTTCGCTGATTTCTCTGTTAAGCTGTCTGCCTTTTTTGGTATCACACCCAGCTATTAGGCTTCACTATTGCTAGCTGATTGCTCTATAGCTTTTGACAATATTCTGGGGTATGAATTGCTCCATAGTCTAATCCAATTACATTTAGGTTCCTTTGCAGAGATAACCTTTGAGTCCAATCTTGAGATTTGTTCTGATCCCAAGAGGGCCGTTCTTAGTTGTCTCTTTCCCAGGCTCTCTCTGGTAAATTGGCTGGCCTGCAGTTTAGCTTCTTGCTGTGTACAGCTACCAGCGTCCTCTTAATTAGTTACTTACTACCAAATATATGCATTGTTTTCAAGAGCACCTTTAGGTTTGAATTTTCTCACACTCTTCCAAATAAAGTCAGTTCCTCTGGGGAGAGCTTCAGAGTTCTGTGTTCTAATGGATTTTTCTCTCCCCCTGGGCAAAATCTCTGAGCCACTGCTCCAGCTGGGAATGGGGACCATGTTCCATTTCTTTGAGAGTGATATCCCTGCTTTATAAGCAGGGCTCTGGAAGGGGTCAATGGCTTCTGTTCTTCTCTGACTGCTTCTCCGGGCCTTGAACTCACATATAAGTGCTGTGAGCTGAGGTGAGGTCACCTTCATGGACTTCTGAACCTGGGGTGGAGCCTCTGTCCTATGAATAGTGTCTGAAAGAAAGAAAAGGAGTTCCCAATCTCTCCAATCTCTAGGACATACTTCACTGGAATTTAACCTTTGCAACACAAAGCTAAGGAGGATGAGAAGTGCTGGCAGCCTGGCTCTCCCAGAGAGATCCAAAATCCTTTACTGAGATCTGGAGGAAGAGTGAGCCCCATTTACTTGGCCACGCCCACCCAGACTGGAGCTTTTGTCATACTGAGCAGGATGGGAGAGGCAGCAGGTCTATGGCTCAAGGGCCACTGACTCTTGCTGTCTGACCAAGATTTAGTAGATTTTCTCAAATAAATGCTTCTTCATCTTTTGTATTCCCTTCGAACAATTTCAAGAGACTTTAAATGGTTCTTGTCTAAAATTTTTACCAGTTACAGTTGCTTCCCAGGGGAGTAAGTCCATAGAGTGCCTCATACTGCCATTCTCCTGGGGATCCATTTAAGGGCATAACTCTGTTCTTCAGTTGCTCCCCGTCTAATGCAGAACAACTCATCTCAAGAAGATCATGTAATGTTAGTGTGATGAATACAATGAAAGAGGTAAGCACAGTGCAACATGGGAACACCTAGGAGAAACCCCTAATCAGTCCTGGAGAGGATAAGCTTTCTAAAGGAGAACTGAATTGTGTAAAAGGAGGGAAAGAATTAAGAGAGGAAGATGAAAATAGGAGGAGTGCTGCAGATGCAGAAAAAATCAAGTGCAAATGCACCAAGAGGTAAGAGAGAATATTGGGAGGTTCTATCACTGCAGCACAGGATGCAAAGGAAAGAAGCTGTAATATTTGGGGAAACAGGCAGGAGAACCTAAGGCCTGGCATGCTTTGTGCTGGGAGATTCCCCCCCCCCCCCGGATTTCCCAGTGTTCCTGCACATTCTGAGCCTTCTGAGTGAAGACGCCTTAATATAAGTCTTAAAGATAGAAAATTCTCAAAAGGTTTAGAGACTTACGCCCCTGGAGCCATTTGCCGGCATTCCAAGCTAGTGAAGGAAAGAAATAAAAACCGTCCCCTCTCTCCTCCCCCACAGAGAATATTTGTTTCCATTCTTTAGCAACGTTCTGGAGGGGAAGATGGGCAGACGGGCCAGCTGCTTTATATAAGCTCCAAGTCTCATAATTTGAGGGTTCCT